GTGGGCTCTGCGGCGGAGGATGGGGGGCCGCCGGCCCCGGAGCGGGTTCTCTTCCCGCCCACCTTCAGCGTGTCCGAGATCAAGAACAAGCAGCGGCGGCACTTCATGTTCCTTCGCTGGAAGCAGCAGCAGAGGAAGGTGGGGGAGGGCCCGGCGCGGCGGCCGTTACCGGAGGGCGGGCGAGGCCCCGGCCGGGCGGCGGGTCTGGCTAACGGATCGCTCTCCCTCTCTCGCTAGGAGAAACTGGCCGCCAAGAAGAAGCGGAGAAAGGAGCGAGAAGCCCTGGGAGACAGAGTAAGGGCTCCGGCCGCAGCGCGCCGCGTCCCCGCGTCGCGGCGAGGCCGTCCCCGCTGCAGGGAGGTGGTGCTCCGCCGCCAACGGGGCAGAGCTCGCCGTGGGGATGGTTCTTCAGTCTCGTGAGAGGAACGTTTGTCCCCAGACTCCAGGAAAGTGGAGCGGTGATCTCGGTGCTCGCTGGCCCCGGTAGCCTTCGGAGAGGCTGTGTTGTATAGCGGAGGTATCAAACAGCTGAGCTTAGCAGCTGTGTCTTGGTGGTGCTGTGTCTTAAATGATGCCGTAATCGGGCAGGGTGAGTTTTAACCAATAATGGCATCAAAGCAGGCCCTTCCTGAAAAGTCTTCTCTGTCCGATGTAATTGCTATGGCACTGTGTTGATGTTACTCGGAATTATACTCTTAATAGGGAATGTCTGTAAAAATTTAAAAAAAATCAGATCCGACTGAACCCTGCCCGGACCGGTTGTCTGCTTGTTTCCAAGCCTAGCCACAAACTAGGGTTTTGCTTCTTTTCCCCAACTACTGCAAAAGCACATTGACAGTTGGAGACCATCAGTTGTGAATGCCTGTATTGTTGTAATCTCACGAGAGTAGTGTAAGTAAACGGGGTAAACGTTATAGGCTATTAGTTGGTAAACTGTAGATGTGGAGGCTAAAATGTGTTGCTGTTGAAAGTAGAGCTTTTTTTCTTCCATGGAAGAGAAGTGGATAGAAAGTTACACACACACACACCGCCTTTTTTTTGTTTTCTTTTGGAACCCCATTGCTTAATTAGACTGAAATTAAGCAGTGTCACTGTTCTACCGATGCTGCTCCTTTATGTGATGTTCTCTGGTGTCATAAAATAAATAATTCTTCTAATTCTGTGTAGAAGTATGCACAACATCATGGTAGTTTGAATGTGTTTTTCGCAATACACTTGTATGTGTTATGTTAATCAAGCTATTTATTTTAGGCACCTCCAAAAGCCATACCAAAGACTATTGAAAATCAGAGAGTGTATGATGAAACAACTGTAGATCCCAACGACGAAGAGGTAACTGCTTAATTTCTGCATATGCTATAAAGTTAACCTTTTTTTTTCCCCCAAGAAGGGACATAAAATGGATTGATGAAACTTAACATTCACCACTCTCCTGTTAGTTAAGGTGTTGATGAATTACTTTTTACATGTGATGGGTTCACTAAGAGGTGATGTCATTCTTGCATTATCTACGTTAGATAATTGACTTTTGCATTACTGTTAGTGATGGTAAAACCTGCCAATGTTCATCACACTAGATTCTTAAAAATGTAAAAACCACATGCCTTGTGATGATTAATTATAGGATAGATCTTGTGAATTGATTTTTTTTCCTACTAAATTCAATTTCATCAGAATTTAGATCAGACTGAACAATTGTTCTTCAGTTATTTCGTATATGTGGGTTAACAAGACTTCTGTTCTTCCAGGTTGCTTTTGATGAAGCAACTGATGAATTTGCACCATACTTCAACAGACAGACAGTTCCCAAGATTCTTATTACAACATCAGACAGACCTCGTGGGGTACGTATGTTTTACTTGGAGAGTTCTGAGCAATCAACTGGTTATAAGATACCAAGGTTTTCATACTATAATTGGTTAAAATTAAAGCTGAAAATTTCACATGGATTTTTTCTGTTTTATTTAGTGACTATCAATAGCCTTGTATATGTATGTAATCTATTAGTTTCTCTAGCACTGTTTCCTTCATTACAAAAACGAACGTCATGCGTATGTTCTTGTATGCAAATGATCTGCACTACCTAATTGGGGAGATTACTGACATTAGTGAAAACCCTAAAAGTGGTTTTAAAAATAGGAAAAAGTACACCTCAAACAGTTTATCTGGCAACTCAGAGATTAGTACCTGAAGTAATAGTTACATTGTATATTGAAATGTTACGAACTTTTTGTAAACCAATGTCCTTAATAAATAATGAGTTTGGAAGTTATGCTTTTGGAATTTTCCTGCTTTTCTATGATTGAGGAAGGAAAAAAAAAAAATCCTTTAAAAAAAATAAAAGTCCCTGGTGTTGTGGAGTCTTTACTGCAAATAAATTTTTTTCCACTGACTGAATGAAGTAATTTAATAGATTGTCTTCAAATGTTTATAGAGATACTGGAAATAATATATCATCAGGGAGGACAGTTGGAATGAGCAACCCTGTATTCACCTAATATTTGGATTTGGCACTGTATTTACCACATTGCAATTTAAATCACCTGTTTTGCAGAGAACAGTGAGATTCTGTGAACAACTGTCTACTGTTATACCCAACTCGCATGTCTACTATCGAAGAGGGCTGGCTTTGAAAAGAATTATTCCACAGTGTATTGCAAGGGACTTCACGGATTTAATTGTTATTAATGAAGATCGCAAAATACCAAGTATCCTTTTGTGTATTTACTGAAATAGATATACTAGCTCTGGGCCTATTAGGGAAAGAAAATAATTCTGTAGTGTGCATCAGAGATCTACTTTATTCTACATTTTTTTCTCTTCACTGTGCAGCTTACAGTGTAACTAAAGAGTTAAAAATCACTGTGCCAGCTTGAATATCTGATGGCTCATGGAACTTGGAATTATTAAAGGAAGTGTGTTGGGGTTTTGTTTGGGTTTTGGTTTTTTTTTTTTTTTTTAGTTTGTAATGCATGGATAAACACTGCTGTTATTTCACTAAATTTAACAGTTTGATTGATGAACAAGTTTTTCTGACCAGGAAGTTCCCTTTAGTTTTGCTGACTAGATAAAACATTACTAATTAAGTGAGAAAGTGATAGAATTTAAGTCTGGTTTCCTATTGAAACAAAATTTAATGGACATACTTCAGAATGCTAGTTAACTAGTTTATGAATGTATGTTCAAAAATATAATGAAACCTTGTAAATCAAGCATAGATTATGGATATAATACTCTAACATAATACTGCATTTCACAGAAAATGTTCCTCTGTAAATTAAATGTTGAATTTTACCAGCCTTTTTTTTTAACTTGGTGAACAGATGGTCTCGTTTTAAGTCATCTGCCTGATGGTCCAACTGCTCATTTTAGAATGAGTAGCGTCCGTTTGCGCAAAGAAATAAAGGTGAGACTCCAACAAAATTTTAAAAAATGGGTACTCTGTCGTTTAATGATAAGTATGTTCAGTCTACTTGAACTGTCAAAACTGGTTGCACTTTTGTACAATTCAGCTGATCTTGTAAAGGTGTTTTTTTTGTAAGCTAACAGGAGGCCAAGGACTAGTATATTATACTTCCATAAGCAGCACATTTCCATTTTCATAGTTATTTGCCTGCCAAGTATTTTTACAGTAGTCCCAATAGCAGCTGATAACCTACATCAATAGGGAATACCCAATGTATAGTATACACACAATAGAATGTAAAAGATAAGCAGTATGAAAGATTTCAATGTAGTTCCCAGTCTTGAATAAAACTTAAGTTTTTCTTATTGTTACAGCCCTGTCACCTCTTCTGTAGTAAGTATTGCTTACTTAGCCCTAAATAATTTGCAGTGAAATGTTTTCTTTTTTAAAATAAGTAATTTTTAAACTTCATCTATTCTTATTAAAGAAGAATCCCATATACTCTTAGTTGGTATTACTACAGAGAAAAGACTCCTGTGACAGGTAGACTGCGTTATTTGCTATAATGGATGCAGCCAGGAGTGGAAATTAGTGCAGGAGAGAGGAAATGTAAAATTACTTATTTGTGCTTTTTCATTCAATTTATATTGTTGAATCAAAGATCCTTATGTTACCAACTGCTCCTTTACTTGTATACAAACTTAGGTTGTGTTTGAAAAAAACGATTAGGGCACATTATCAGCCCTGTTACAAGAAGCTGGCCCTGGTTGTCTTCCCCCCTGTTTTATTTCGAACTGTTCTTTGATAATATATTAAAATCCTTTTGCATTCAATCTATTCTTTGCATTCTTCTCTATTACTTTCATTTCAGCGAAAAGGGAAAGAGCCCACAGAACACGTACCTGAAGTAATTCTGAATAATTTTACAACACGACTTGGCCATTCTATTGGTCGCATGTTTGCTTCTCTCTTCCCACATGATCCTCAGTTCATTGGAAGACAAGTAGCTACCTTTCACAACCAGCGAGACTACATCTTTTTCAGATTCCACAGGTGACGTTTTCCACAAAACTCACAAATGAGAGAGAATGTTCTTGTAACTTACCTTCTAACTTTTTTTTTTTTCCTTCCCCAAGATATATCTTCAAGAGTGAAAAGAAAGTGGGAATTCAAGAACTTGGGCCACGTTTCACATTAAAGCTGAGGTCTCTTCAGAAAGGAACCTTTGATTCCAAATTTGGAGAATATGAATGGATTCATAAGGTATGTCTAAGTAATAATAATAGTCCTGCTTGGGAAGGGAGACTAAATCTGACATGAAATGTAACCATAAATCTTAAGCCTAAAAAAGCGGTATAAATGCAGTTCTCAATACAGAAGTGTTTAACTGAAACATTTAGAGGTATGTTTTGAGAAATATACAAAGTAGAAGCATTCTGCTATATTGCAAGTCAAAAAATAAAAACAGCAAAGATGATTAATATCAATATACCATAACTACATACTTGCAGAATGTAATTTCTTTAACATATACAGATATAAGCAAATGTGAAAAATGCTCCGCTGGTATAAGCCATTTTTGGAAGCCTAGTAAACAACTAGAGCTATTTTTGTGCAAGGTGAGTGCAAGGATCGTAATGTAAAAACGATTAAGCTATTTATATAAATGTCACTTCTTAATAGCGAAGGGAAAGTAACACTGACCTCTGCACACCTTCAGGTGAAATGGAAGTGTTACTCTAGGCAATGATAAATTACTTTTCCAGTCATTTTTACCATGGAATTGCAGCTGATGATTGGCAAAACTTAGAAGTGAGTATCCAAGCTATATGGAAGGAAAATTCTAACACTCCTGGTGCAGTCCATGAAATGGATAATCTTGTTTGGTTTAAAGACACTTTGTCTACTGTCAGTAGACAGAGAACTGCTACACGTTCTTTAGTTCTAAATCACTAACTTTTAATTTTTCTTCCTTGTTAGTCTTGAAAAGCTGGCTATAAAGACTCAACTATGCTGTAACTGTGACACATTTCATTGCCTACCCTACTATAAACTGGAGCGGTCACCCTTGTTTGTATCCTGTTGTGTGAATCTGCTGGTTAATAACTTTTCTTTTAAATTTCAGCGCCGAGAAATGGACACGAGTAGAAGAAAATTTCACTTATAAGGGACAGCTATCTGCCAGTTGCTGCTGACCAGAAATACAACTGCTTTGAACTATGGATTATCTCAGACTCCTAACTAATGATAATGATACTGAACAGTATCTGCCTGCAGAAAGACAAGCTGCAAACATTAAAACCTTCTACAGGAGCGGATCAAGTAGGACGCATCTTTCTTTGTGTTTGTAGCTAAATCCAACATGACAAGGACAGCGACTCTTTTTCCAGTTTAGCAGGAAAAACTATGCAATGTCAGAGCAGCCTGTTATTTAGCTATCACTGAAGATTTGCTATGACTGCTACTGTGCTGTAGAGATAAATTACACTTTGCAACATCAAAGACAGTAAATATTTTGGTAAAAGATATTCTCAAAATAAAGTATTTCTAGTTATACAGCTTTTTTTTCTGTTAAGCAGCTAAACCCAGACCTCTTTCAATAATCAGGTAAGAGATAAATATTTTAAACCTCTTTCTAACTTACAGTATGCTGTTCCCTGACAGTGTGGTGATACTTTTCCAAAAATGGTCTCCTATCTAGAGAACATGGAGAAGGCTATATGCAATCCAGGAAGTCTGTGGTATTTTACTTCATTAACATCTTGCATAAAATAGCCATGTTGCTGAAGTTACAAAAATAATGTTTGACTCCTACAGGTATCTTTTCTGTAAAAGTCGTATTTAGATAGAGGTATATACCCAAAGCAGTTGATATTCTTTTATATAAAAATACATAAACACTGATTGGAAAGAATTCATAAGGCCAGCTTACAGGAGGTACATAAAGCTATCTCATCTAAAAATGCTGCTCAGTTGAACATGTGAGGTCTCTGAGCAGGGTTTTTCCCATTAAAATCTTAAAAATTCTTCTTCAGCCTCATAGCTATACTCAAAGTTGGTATTACCTGCAGAACAAACTACTCTTCTGCCTTAAGTTTGCACATTCACTGGCAGCTAAAAAGCTAAGTTTTTATTTAATTACTTTCTTTTCATATGCAGCTGTAATAAGTGCTTTTTCGTATTTACCTAAAGAGTAAGGTGGCTCACAGAGTAAGTCATCTACTAAGGTAGAATTACTCTTTAAGGTAAAGAATAATTAAGTTACTCTTTGTCTTTATTTTATGTCTATCATATGGGAAACTGTAGAGTTGAATTATAAACTAACAGCCAAAAAATTTTTTTTTTGTTGTATTTCTATTACGCTTCTAAGTATAGTACTGATGAAGCCTCATTGTTCTGTAAGACTATCGACCCCAGGCAAAATTCCAGCAGCATGGAATATTTAAAGACAGACTCCTGTATATGCTCTTCAGCTGCTGCGGAGTGATGCAGTAACTGATGAGGTGTCAACATATCCAGAAGTTAATGAACTTGTTACAGTAATTTCAAGACCAGACTAAGTCAAGACACTTTTATTTTTTGCTTGGCATATAAAACTGATTCCCTTATGAAACAGAAGTATTGTAACTAGCATACAGTTCATTTGGAGAGGTAGATGGTAAGAAGTTTGACGACAGTAGCAATTTTACAGTTAGATTTGGCACGTTAAAGCTAAGCTTTTGTACAGACTTCAAACCAGGCCACTCCTTGAGGCACTCTGCCCATACACACATCAGCAGCTAGGAAAAGATGCTAAAAGGTCTGAAAAACAAAAACAAAATGTAGTTAGAAAAGTATCAATGCTATTTGAAGCAACTCTATGTCTAAGAACATGTACCTTCAGAATATGCCATGGACAGCTACTGAGGAAAAAAAAAAAATCCTCTTTTTCCGCAGCTGTTTTATAAAACTATTAATTTATAAAATACACTTTTAAAACCATGAAGCTGTCACCAAAGGTACAAGAAGATTATCAAAGCTGTTACAAAAGAACTGAAGCTTAGTGTCTCCTGGAAGCCAAACTGCTAAGTGGAAGGACAGAAAAAGTTGTTCCCAGTCATGTGGTGCCTACAGAAATAGCAGGCATCTACTTTGCCTTTGAAAAGCAGGGGGAGTCTGTGTAACTAACAAATTACACTTCCTCTTCACTCCACAGAGGTGGTGCTGACTGTGTAAACATGAACTCTATTGGCTCATTGTGAAAACACCAGGATTACAACTAAGAAATCGCCTATTTTGAGGAAGTGTTTGCAAGAGATACCGTGAAGGAAAGACATTTTCTATATAGGTAGTGTAACTAAAACTGCTGTTCTAATGACTTTTACCTGTAACATCAGCAGAAACAAGTGTTCCATTCCAAAATCAGAAAGGGGGAAGATAAGGGCTTTAATTGAGAAAGAAAATATTAAGCCTTTTGTGCCCTGTGTATGCATGTATGTGTGTGAGACAGAGGAAATGTTATTTCCTCACACCCACACCCAGGAATTACTAGACCTTGGCAAAGCTCAGTGGGAAACTGTGTGTGTGTCGCTCATTAAAGTACAGTTTATTTGGCTTTTTATAGGTTATCAGTCTATAATGCGTACAAATGATCTGATTTCTTCCTTGAATTGCTGCTTAAAGCTGAAGGTACAGTAGTGTGAACACAAGTCAGTGTCCAAGAATAGTATCTTTTAAATACGAATACTTGATAAAATTCACAATAGAAATACCTTTAAAAGCTACACAAACTCTAAAGTACATTTCAGTTACGCTGTTGCAATTCACTGGTCAAAACAATGGGGGAAGTGTTTTTGTTACATAGTTATGCATCAACTTCTATACTGTTACTACTCTGGTCTTTACTAGCATGAACCACCTTGTTTATACACAAACTTCTTGGAAGCTTTCTACAGGCTGCTTAAGGGGAGAACAATTTGAACAACTCAGTCTGACTGTGGTCACCTTTCTAAAAAGCTGCCTAAACAATACAACTTAAATCTAGTGAACTACAATTCTTTGAGTGATGTAAGTCACCTACAAAAACAATTCTTCAAGGTTAACTCGCTATGAGATTTCTAAGGATTGTGAACTATGGTTAACTGCATATCAGATGCTTTGAAATAACGTATATGCTCTCACCCCCAACAGATCCAAGTCAAGGGGCAATGGGGAAGAGGGACATGGTAAAATTATCATGCATTTAATGTGGATAAAATATCAAATTTTTGTGACTCTCAAGAGTCTTGGTGAGACTACTGTGGATCTAAAACTTGCCTTTCTAAATAGGCTAGTCTAAAATCTAATCACCAGAATTTTCAAGGAGTGTCAGATGAGTAGTCTTCATAGCAATAGCAGTAGTGCTAATGAACCTATAAAAGTTTTGGAATTAAAATCCAAATGAGTATTCAACTGTTTCTAGTTATTTAAACTGCTACCCATGTATTAGCTTATTTGAGTGGACTACAGGCCTTGATACAATTCTTGGACCACATACTTTTTTTCCTTTTGGCTTAGAGGGCGTATCCTACAGGGAACAGTGCTCTTCTTGTAGACTGCCACTAACCTATCTTTGGAAGTGCTCTTTAGAAGTTTAAGAACTAAAGTCTGATTTATCTGCCACAATGAGGATTCACCATGTATGCTGTCAGGCAAGTGATCCTATGTGAGAAAAGGGAAATAATACCCTAACACAGATGGAAGACAGAGCAGCATTACTGTGCAACCAGGTTAGTCCAAATAGCAGCTCAGTAGTAGCTGGCCCCACTACTACTTTGCTGCAGCAACTGGCAGAAGCTCTGCAACAGCTAAATGCTACTTATAATACTTATACAGTATGTGTCCAGTACAGAGCTACGGCCAGAATAGGGGAGGAGGGGCCCAAAATGGGGATCCAGACCGACACCAGCTGCAGAAGTCAGATGTCTCTTCTGAATACTTTTAATACAGGCAGTCTTATTTAAAGCCAGCTATTTTTAATGACAACAGTTTATGAATTGTAATTCAAGAACTTACCACTGAAAGATACCGAAGTAGTTCACGTAATTACAAAAATGAACAGACTTTCTGGGGTCTGAATGGATTTGTACTTGATGATACTCCTGTCAGTAGGGGATCATGTTGCGCGTTCTGCAGGCAGAACTGCTTCAAGTCTGCTGCAGCCTGAGAAACCTAGTTGCAATAAAAGTTGGCATTAGAATTCACGGAACGCTCTTTACTGATGACATAACTACATCAAAAAGTATAAAGAATACTGCTAAATGATTATGCAATACAGCTTATGTAGATTTTGAACAACAGTTTCATCATAATTTCTTGGTTTCTTAAAGACACAAAGTTGCACAATATTAGAATCGATGTGGGAAATTTTCACGTTAAACTTCTAAGCCTGAAGATCCTCATTCTAGCATAAATAGTTTAAAAGTACAGCCTGTAGCTTAAGGTGCTCTACCCAACTGAACAGGCATTTTATCTTCCTTTGGAAAGCCATCCTTATGATGAGATAGCGTATGGGTTTTTTGGTAGGCTGTACCTACCTAAAAACAGAACAGTAAAAAAATGCTATGTCTTGCTTTTCTTTGCTGTAACTCTGAACTCGTGAAAAAGAAGGATCAAAGTTTCAGAAAGCAGCATCTTCGCTGGTATCTTGTATTTGCAGTTTGCCCAGAGTTTCTCTGATTTGACAGGGCCCAGTCTCACCCTGCAAACGCACAAGTTAAATGCACTTAGTACGTCTTGCAGCCAAGTCTCCATTTTACAGCGTCAGGGCCCGGCCAGCGAAGGCAACCTGTTGTAAACCCCGACTCAAGCTGTCCGAGTGTGATGGAAGAAGCCGCTCCTCACAATAAGGAAATGAAAGGGGAGTCCGGGGCGCGTCCCTCCCCCCGGGGGAGCGCCTGGGCCGGAGAGCGGCCCCCGGGGGTCTCCGGGAGGCTGCAGGAAGCGAGAGGCGCGGGGGGGGGGGCC